CGCTGCTTCCCTCCAGGTCCCTTGCCGTCTGGGGAGGGTTCTAGAAGCTTTGCTTCCTACCCCGTGCCTCCTACCTCTCCCCAGAACAGAGTAGCTTCACAGGCCCCAGATAGCAAGTGCCCTGGACGGACAAGGGTCTCCAGCCACAGAGCCAACCACTTGTTTTCTTTTTGTCGGTTGTGCTCTGGATGCAGATTGACAGAGCAGATTTGTTTCACTCCCAACAGTTCACGCACGTTTCATTTCACAGCCCCAACCACAATCCGCGGCCATAAAAACTGTCTGCCCGTCTCCTCCCTGTGACCACCCCTCCCTGTGACCCTGTGGCTGTGTCGTTCTTATCTCTGCATTCCTGTCTGTCCAGCTTTCCTTCTGTGTGAATGCTTCCCCTGTGATGTCTTGTGGTTGGTTGATCTAAGGGGTGCCTCTCCCTGGGTAGATGGGTGCCTCTCCCTGAGCTGGGCGTTCTGCATGTAGGTCTTTCTGCTGTTGGGTTGAGAGCCAGTCCATGAAAGTGAACCTGTTTCTAGGCCTGAAGGATAACCTGGGGCTATAGTCTCCGGGGTTCTGCCAGTCTCTGTCTAACCAGTAATTCTGGTCATCTCTGTATTTTTGCATTCTGTTCCACATTTTTCTAGAGCCAATTTCTTTTGACCCTGGCTTGACAAAAGGAAAACGATTACTGTCCATGGCAGTAGCCTTAATATAAAAGTTGCCTGTGTCCTGGAGTCCCATGGTTTGATTTACTGGGCGGAGGGCCCACTGCGGTAGTCATCTTCCTAATATCTAGGAGGGTCTTGTAACCTTGGAAGTAGAGGCTGTTGGTCTCCCCCGACCCTTTGTGGTGAATGTGCCAGGCATCCCTGCCCTATTGTAACTGGGCTTCTCAGACATCCCTGGGCGAAGGGAGAAGTGGGGGACCAGGGCCAGCCTCCAGTCCTCCTCATCTCCCCCAGACTTACCAGGACTGGGTGCGGCATGTCCTACGAGAGGTGGCAGCCAGGGAGAGCCAGCACCACAGACGCCTGCTGCGGTGAGTCTCCCCGCGCCTCGCGGGGCCCAGCCCTGGGGAGGAGGCTCCGTTCTGGGGGGCGAGCCTCAGCGCAAGGGAGTCCAGAGCAAAGCAGTTGGGGGCCTGCTGCCCACGGCCAGACAGAGGTGGTCCGGGTGCCTTCTGCTGCTTGCATCATGGTGTGGCTTTTCCACAAGCTCTTAATGTTCACATTTCACTTTGCCGCTCCCTGTGTTGTCAACCTTGTGCAGGGGGGCCCCTAGAAAGCAGCCCTCCCTGCATGCCTGCGAGAGCTCCCGTTGGTTGCTGCTCCGAGCACTCCCCTCCTCGCTCCGTACCTACTCCCAGGCACCACTGCGTCCCCTCCTGCTCCAGAGGCTCTACGGGCTCCTTCTGTCCCCGGTCAGCCCCTCCCAGCCGGCCTTTCGCCGGCTCCCCAGAACCGTCTTGGTGCTCTAGGACATCACCTGGATCTTTCAGGCCCTTTGCAATCACTTGTCTGTCTCAGCCTCTGTCTTCCTCATGAGCCCCACCCTCTAGTTCCTTCTAAGCTCACCCTAAACTGCCTCCTTTTGAGTTGGCCTCCCACGGGCCCCTCTTTCACAGACCTTTCCTTCCTTTGTATTTGTTCAGCAGCCTGTCTGTGGGAAGTAGGTCTTGTGGGCTTTCAGTACCCCTGCCCCTCCTTGGGGTCCTGTAAAGTGCCCATCCAGCTGCTCAGGTGGGAGGACTAGGAAGGGACTCTTCCGAACTAGCTCACCAGTCAGCGTACACACTGGGGGTAGGTGCCTCTCCCAGCTTCCCTATCTCTGCTTATCACAGCATGAGTCACCTGTACTGTCATTGCCCAGTCACAGCATGAATCACCTGTACTGTCGTTGCCCAGTTACGGCTCTGTGTTCCCCTCCCCATGTACCCTCCACCAGCCTGTGGTGTTTGGTCTTGTTCACTGCTGTATGCTAGTGCGGATCTAGTGCTAGTACATAACCAATGCTCAGTAACTGTTTCCTGAACATATCCATGAACATAAGCATGGATATCATGGAACATGCTCCTCAGCGTGCAGAGTCCTTGATTCAGGAGCCAGGTGAAGAGCTAGGAGTGATTCATAGACCCCTCCCGTTGTCTCCCATACTGATGTCACCCCTCCTCCCGCCCTGGCCTGTTTATCTGCAGAGGCGTGTTACATCGCTGGCGAGAGAACACTGTGGCCCGTGTGGATGAAGCTAAAAAGGCCTCCCAAGCACGTGATCATTACACAAGGACCATATGTTCAAAGGTGAGGTATCAGAAGGCAAGCTTGTGTTCTGGCAAGGGGGGGTGTGTGATAAGCAGAGATCTGAGCTGAAGACCGAGCCCAGAAACGGGTGACTCTTCTCCAGTACAGACATTGCATTCATATGAGCGTTTATTTTTCCTGAATTACAAACCAGTACCTGTTAAAAAGAAAAACCTAGCACATCGTGAGTTAACTAATTCTTATCAGACAGTAGTTCTGTGCATATGCAGTCGAAGTCATCTTGGGATGTCATTTGTCTTCACTTTCTTCATCTGGTGAAAGAGGATGCTCGCTCCCTTGTCACCCTCATTGGTCTCATGGGCATGGAGGCTGTTTGGGTCCCACAGAGCATCCAGTGAATGTGGGTCATGGGTCATCTCTGATAGGGGGTGAACTCAGACCCCTACTTTGTTCCTTCAGTTGGGAGGGTTATGGGAAAACTACTTGGTGTAGGCCCTGGTCCCAAGAAAAGATGACAAGGAGGACTAGTAGGTTGTGTGACTGTGGGTAACTGTAGTTACAGGAAAGGGGTTTCAGAGGCCAGCTTCCAGCATGACAGCAGGAGCTCTGCTGATCTGTTCCACAGTGAAACGGATGAAAATTGTTAAAAAATCAACTATTGAAAGCCTCTGCAGATAGTCCTAAGGGCAAATTGCAAATGAAAAATAGATCTGTTCAAGAGAATCTGTGAAGATTTGTTGAGAAAGGTGAGAGTCTGTGATATTTGAACCAAGACCACTCCCCGCCTCCCTCCCTCCCTGCTTCCAGTTCAGTGAGAAAGCCTGGGTGTTTGGCTCCATTCTACAGCTAAGAACACAGGGCTTCCTTTCTCCCACCTCCCGGCCAGAGGGCTTTCTTCCAGGGAAGAATAAGACTTAAGCATTTTTCATCCTACCCCCAATTACCTGAAAAATGGACACTCCGAGAAGACCTATAACAAGTGAAAACATTGCATTAGAAAAGCCTTGGCCCAGATGGTTCCACCAGTGAGTTCTACCAAACATTATAAGGTTGGCATTGGCCTGGTACCAACACAAGACAGAGACATAAGAAAACCATCGACCAACATCTCTTTGAATATAGATGCAAAAGTCCTCAACAAAATACTAGCAAACTGAATCCAACAACATATTAAAAAAAGTTATACACCACAACCAAGTAAGATGTATCCCAGGAGTGCAAGAATAGTTCAGCATTTGAAAATCAAGTCACGTGACACATCACTGCAGTAGGATAAAGACAAAAATCAACATGATTGCCTTCATAGATGCAGAAAAAACATGACAAAATCCAACACTCTTTAGTAATAAAAACAGTCAACAAACTAAGAGTAGAGGGGTACTTCCTCAAATAGACAAAGAGCATCTATGCCCACATCTAAAACCCACAGCCACTGCCATACTTAATGGTGAAAGACTGACTGTTTTCCCCCTAATATCAGGAACAAAACAAGGATGTATGCCATCACCACTTCTATTCACCATTGAGCTGGAGGTTCCAGCCAGGACAAGCCACAAAAAGAAAAGGCATCCAGATTGGAAAGGAAGAAGGGAAGTTGTCTGTATTCACAGATAACATGGTCTTATACGGAGAGTATCCTAAAGGAGCCACTAAAAATCTATTATAACTAGTAAGTTCAGCAGAGTTGTAGGATACAAGATCATTATACAAGAATCAGTTGTATTTTTATATACTTGCAATGAAGAATCCAAAATTAAGAAAAAAATTCCATTTATATTGTCATCAAAGAGTAAAATGCATAGGAAGGGCAAAACTTATACTCTGAAAACTACAAGACATGGTCAAAAGAAATTAAAACAGAGCCAAATAAATGGAAAAATATCCCATGTTCATGGATGAGAAGACTGACAGTGTTACGATGGCAGGATTCTCCAAACAAATCTGCTTATTCCAAAATTCATATGGAATCGCACGGGATACAGAATAGCTGAAACAATACTAAAGAAGAACAGCATAGGAAGACTCACATTTGCCAGTTCCAGAGCTTACTACAGAGTGTCAGTAATCACGACAGTGAGACAGCAAAGGTCAGACATATATATAGATCAATGGAATTTAATTGAGAATCCAGAAATAAACCTACACAAATACAATCAACTGATTTTTGACAAGGATGTTAAGACCAGTGGGAAACAAATGATCCTGGGATAACTGGATAGCTTAAAAATGTCTGACATTTGTCCCATGCCTCATACCGTATACAAAAATTAACTCAAAATAGGTCAAAAACTTACACGTCAGAGCTAAAAGTATAAAACTCTTCAGAGTTCTAACCTGGCAGCTTCGTGTGCATTGGAGTCCAGCTGTGCTCCATCAGGGGTTGGCTTTTTGTGTTTGTCTCTTCTGCAGCAGTAGTGTATTTTCAGGGAGAGTTTATACAGCATGTTATTTGGTGACATTGGTTACATTTTCACATGTCAGTATTCTCATTAATTCCATTCTGGAACCTAGTTTCCCTACCCCCTTACCTTCTCATCTTAGCTTTAGGGTAACTGTTGACCATAGATGGTTTTTTAAAGCACAGTACTCATGGGTTATAGTCTTTATTTTTTGATCCATTCTGTTGTTTAGCTAAAAGGTAACCTCAGGCACTAGTTTTGGTTCAAGATTTTGAGTATCTCGGGACAATAGCCTCAGGGACTCCTCCAGTTTCAACCAGTCCAGTAAGTCTAGACTTTTTAAGAATTTAAATTCTGTTACACACTTTTCTCATATTCTGTCAGGATCCATCTCTTGGCCCTGATCAGAACAGTCAGTCACGGTAGCTGGCACCACCTAGTTCTGGTCTCAGGATAGACAAGGATGTGGTTCATGTGGAACTGTTAGTCCTATAGACTCGATTCTTCTCTGAGATTTTGGTTTCCTTCTTCCTCTTTGGCTCCAGATAAATAAAGACCAGTAGTTGTATCTTAGATAGCCACTTGCAAGCTTTTAAGATCCCTGAGACTATTCAACAAACAAGGATGTAAAACATAAACTTTATGTCAGTTGACCAAGACATGAGACTGTGGTCCTATGCCTTCAAACCCAGAAACCAAACTTGCAATATATTTGCTATCCATAACTGTGCCCCCTATGTGGTTGATTATATATGTGAATATATATATGCATGCGTACACATACCTGTATATACATACAGATACATACATACATCTGCACACACACATATACACCCATATTGGTCCTCTGGTGCTGCTGTAACAGAAGATACCACAAGTGGATGGCTTTCACAAAAAGGGATTTATTCTCTTCACAGTTTAGGAGGCTGGAAGTCCAAAATGCCAGCTCTATGGGCTGGGTGAAAGCCCCTTGACCTTGGGCTTGAGCTCTGCCTCTTGCTCCCAGCTCACTGAAGCTGGAGGCTTCTTTTAACTCAGACAGCTGCTGACTGCAGAGGTGACAAACCCAAGATCAACAAATAAAATGGCACAGTCCCAGAATTATCAAGCAACACAGCAGGCCACTAGTTCAAGTCCAGAAACAATCTCAAGATTGGCAGACGACGTGGTAGGCCACTGAGATGAAGCCTCAGCCAAATGCAGCATCCCCGTGTGCAAAAGTAGACCTTTCTCAAAGCCACTGCTTACATGCTAGAAGCAGACCACATCCCACAGGGAGCTCCTCAGCTGCTCACAGTAGATTCCCCCATGGAGCTGATGACCAGTGTCATCATGGGGACTAACTACAACCAGCTGCCCAGCCACCCAAAACCAGGCCCAGCCAAGTTGATACCTAACCTTAACTACCACAATACCCATACACATACGTGCTTGTGTATATACATGTATAACCATATACTTTCTTTTTTCTTTTTAGGCCGTTGTTGGAGTTGCAAATTATATGTCTTATCCTTTACCAAAAATGATCTTTTCTCTTTATGTATTTCTTAGTGGCATTATTTGCTTTGGTCAGACTGGACAGACACACTTCATGCATACTCAGTGCTGCCTTTCCTATCACCAAAAAATAACAAGTGCCTACTATACGGAGGTAGTAGACTCTCTCCTCCCCACCACCATCCCTAGTTAACCACTGTATATATCTCTGTATATATAGCTATTCTTGTTTTCTTATAAATGTGTGGTCATACAGCATTTATCCTATTGTGATTGACATATTTCACTCAGCAATAATACTCACCCTTCACATTATAATTTGAGAACTTATCCTTACTCTTCATGGCTTCAGGTTATTCCACTGTATGTGTGTCCCACATTTTTTTTTATCCATTCTTCGTTGATGGGCACTAGGTTGCTTCATCTTGTGAGGAGTGCTGCAGTGAACACAGGTGTGCATGGGTCTATTTGTGTCTCTTTCCTTGGATCTCTGGGGTGCATACCTAGGATTGGGATCTTTAGATCATTAGGTGTTTGTAGTTCTAGCTTTTTAGGAAATGCCGTATTTCCCACAGTGGTGTTACCATTTTATAATTCCACTAGCAGTGGACCAGGGTTGCAATCTCCCTACATCCTCGCCAATATTGTTGTTTTCTGTTTTTGTCTTATCATTGCTATTTTAGCAGGCGTGAGATGGTATCTTACTGGAGTTTGGATTTGCGTCACTCTAACAGGGACCATGAGAATTTTTTCATGTATTTATTGGCCTCTTGGATGTGTCTTTGGTGAAGCATCTGTTTATGTCCTTTGCCCATTTTTCAGTCGGGGTGTTTGTCTTTTTGTTGGTGAATTGTTGAAGCTTTCTGTATTTCAAAGATTGGACCCTTACCAGATGTGTTGTTCCCAAGGATTTTCCCAGTCTGTAGGTTGGCTCCATAGAGTTTTCAGCAACTGATTTTTCACAAGTAGATTGCCGGGATTCGAGACTCCCTGGAGCCAGGAGGCTTGGACGAACAGCTGAAACCTGTTCCATGAGATAATCTTCAAACCTTAGACCAGAATTAGCCCCTGAGGTCATCTGAAAACCAAACAGTTCCTCTTAACTAGTAAAAAAGGGTCTGCTTTGAGTGTTATGCTTTTTTAAGAACTATTATGGAATCAGTTTGAGGCAGAAATTTGAAAGGTTAGGTGGGAACCTCAGGAGGCAGTGAATTAGTGTTAATGAGGGAGGAACTACTCAGAAAAGGAAGGGGAATGGTTATACAATGTGAAGAATGCAGTCAGCGTCACTAAATGTTGTTGTTGTTATGTGCCATCGAGTCAGCCCTGACTCATAGCGACCCCTCCTTGGGTTTCCGAGGCAGTATCACCACGGAAGTAGGATTGCCCAACCTTCCTCCCGAGGAGTGGCTGGTGGGTTTGAACTGCCAGCCTTCTGGTTAGCAGTCAAGTGCCTTAGCCACTATGCTACCAGAGCTCCCCACTAAATGTTAGAGGTAGAAATTGTTGAATTGGACTATGTAGTGCTATGTACCTTCTCAACAACAATAACAAAATTAATCACCTCAGGCCCTGGCCTTATATAGAGCTGCCCCCAAGCAAAAAGCAGCCCCCAAACCCAGGCATGCCTCCCTCTGGCCCAGCCTTAATATAGAGCCGCCCCCAAGTGAAAAGCAGCCCCCGAGCCCCGAAGGAGTACCAGTGTGTATATTTTTAAAAAGTAGAACACTAGCCCTTTCTTCCCAGGTGTCACTGGTGAACTTTTTGGTTAGTCGCCAAGCAAGTTAACCATTTGCACAACCCAGGGATGACTCTTAGAACTAAATTTTCATGACCTTGGGTTTGGCAAAAGATTCTTAGATATGACTCCCAAAGCACGAGCAACAACAAAACAAGTAGATGTATTAGACTTCATCAGAATTAAAAACTGTGCTTTAAAGGACACCATCAAGAACGTGAAAATCCACAGAAAGGGAGAAAATATTTGCAAATCATAAAACTGTTAAGGTATATGTTTGTACAATATACAAAGAACTCCTACCAATCAACAAAAAGACAACCCCCCCTTAAAAATGAGAAGAGAATCTGAACAGACATTTCTCCAAGGAATATAGGAATTGCCTGTAAATACATGAAAAGATGCTAGACATCATTAGTCTTTGGAAAAATGCAAATCAAAACTACAATGAAGACTGATAATATAATAGCTAGACAATTAGAATATGGTGTAATGGGCTAGCATAGGGAACACGTAGTAGTTACAGCAACACACAAAGGAAAAAAGCACCTCATGCAGACTCCGGGACCAGGGAGAACTTAATAAAGGAAATGAGTGTAAAAAACACACAAACAATGAGGTGCCACCTCACACCCAGCAGGAGGGCTGCAATCAAAAAGGCAGACACTAACAGGTATTGACAAGGCACTGGAGATGCAGAACGCCCAGACAGTGCTGGTGGGAATGTAAGATGGTGCAGTGCTGCAGAAAACGGCCTGACGCTGGCTCCAAAAGTTAAACATAGAATTAGCGTGTGACCAGCAATTCTACTCCTGATACATTCTCAAGAGAAATGAAAATATATGTTCAAACAGAAGCTTGTATGCAAATGTTTACAGCAGCAGCGTTCAGAATAGCCAAATGGTGGAGATGACCCAGAGGCCCCAGTGGACAAATGGATAAGCAAATACATACAGTGGTCTATTACTCAGCCATGAAGAGGAACGAAGAACGTGCCACAGCTTGGACGAACCTTGAGAACATTATGTTAAGTGGAAAAAAAAGTCAGATACAGGAGGTGACATAAGAAATGATTTCCCTCAGAGGAAAGTCTGGAATAAGATGTGTAGAGACAGAAAGTAGACGAGCGGCGGTTTAGGGCTGGGGGAGGCGAGTCGGGCTGGGCCGGAGCTCAGGGGTCGTTGGTTGCCATTGAGTTGGCTCTGACTTGTGGTGACTTTCCGTGGAACGAACAGAACGGGCGGGTCCTGCACCGTCGCCATGCGTCTCTTCACGATCAGCGGTGCGGCGGAGGCCATTGCAGCCACTGTGCCACTGATCCTCGGGGAGGGCCGCCCTCATCCCCCCCGGAACCTCTGCTCTGCCAGACAGGATGTCCTGTTCTAGCCGTCGTCTCTGCCGATGACCTTTCCGCGGGTCGCCGTCCTTGCTCCTGAGAGGGCTCTGGTCACGGTTCATCCCTTTGGCGGTCAGGAGGACGGCGATGCGCAGGCAGTGGGATTACTGTGGCGGCGGCTGCACCAACCATGAACGTGTTTAAAACCACTGAGTCGTACACGTGAATGGATGAACTGTCTGTGAAGCTGTTAAAAAGAAGGGAGGGAAGGAAGGGAAGAAAGAGCAAATTCAGACAAATGAAATGAGGAAGCAGCCAGGCCTCAGGGCGTCAGGTGGCCCTTGGCAGCCCGCAGGTGGCCTGGGGCCCGGAGCCCTAAGGAGCAGTTCATTCACCTGCTGGCCGGCCAGCCTGGGGCTGATCCTAACAAGTCTTTTTTTTTTTTTTTTTATTGTGATTTGGGGGAAGATTTACAGAGCAAATACCCTTTCCGTACAGCGGTTCACATACATCGTGTCTCATGACATTGGCCACAGTTTCCCACAATGCAACAGCTCCCCTCTCACTTCCTCCCCATAGTTACCTCTTCCCAGTGTCCATCCCTCCATGCTCTCCTGCCCCCTGAGCTGTCTCCCTGTGCATACACAGCCCTTCTTTCTCCCATGCTTGTTCTCTCCAAGGAGTATATCTACCTGAGGTAAATGTTCAACTCCTATGCCTGTCTTTTGTTTGGCTGGAAGCCCCAGGTGTGGTGGGTTCATTTCCAGACCTGAAGGGCAGCCAGGGGCCATAGGATCAGTGGTTCCTCCAGGCTCTATCACACCAGCAAACCTGGTCCCCCCCCTCTTTTTTTTTTTTTTTCCCAAATGATTTGTTCCGCATTGTTCCCTCACTCTATCCAGGATCTCCCACATAGATCCCTCTCTGAGTGGTTGACAGTGGTAGCCAGGTACCATCTAGTTCTTCTGGCCTCATAGTCGTACAGGCTGTGGATCACATGGTGCACCAGTCGCTTGGACGAATTGTTTCCCTGAATCTTTGGTTTTCTTCATCCTTCTTTGCTCTGGATGAGGAGAGACCCATTGTTGCATCTAGATGGCTGCTTGCAAGCTTTTAAGATCCCAGTCACTACTCGCCAGAGTAGGAGGTGGAACAGTGTTTTATGTAGTGTGTTATGCCAGTTGAGCTTGATGTCCCCTGCAACTATGGTCCTGAGCCCATAGGTTCAACTACTTGCTTCCTCTGGGTAGCTGGCTGTACCCAAGAAGTGACTACAACCTTGTCAGCTCTACTACACACCTGGGAATTCTTACAGAACATACAAATGTACTTGTAGAACCATTCTCTGCCAACCCTTTACATGATCTTGGGCACACTCCCCGCTGCATAGACATACCTAATAATTCACCCTGTCCACCCATCTATCACCCGTATATCCTTGTTTGCCTTCACTGACAACGCAGTACTGTATGTGCAAAAGGGTTCATCTTTGTTGTCTGTACCTCCCATGTACCTCTCTATGCCTTCCTCTTCCTCAATGCCACCATGTTGATCACTCACATTTGGTACATTGCCCTTCTCTTCACCCAAATCAGTACTTGTCTCTACCTATCTAACAGTGTTCCCTACCCTCCCCTTCCACTCCTGGTAGCCAACAAAAAAAAATTTCCTTCCATATATAAACCTTTCCTTGACTTTTTATAGTAACAGAGTAATACAAGATTTGTCGTTCTGTGATTGACTTATTTCACTCAGTATAATGTCCAACAAGTTCATCAATGTTACGCAGTATTTTGCAGATTCTACGTTATTATTTAGGGTTGCATAGTATTCCATTGTGTGTATGTACCGTAGTTTGGTTATCCTTTCAGTTGATGAACACCTAGGTTGTTTCCATCTTTTGGCTATTGTAAATAGTGCTGCGATGAACATGGGTGTGCATATGTCTGTTCTTTGCCTGGCTTTCACTTCTTTAGGATATATACCTAGTAATGGAATGGCTATGTCAAATGATATTTGTAATTCCAACTTTTTAAGGAATCGCCATACTGCTTTCCACAGTAGTTGTACCATTTTACAGTCCCACCAGCAGTGTATGAGAGTCCCCAATCTCTGCACATCCTCGCCAGCATTTGTTGTATTCTGTCTTGTTGAACTTTGCTACTAGTGCTGGGGCAAAATGGTACCTCATTGTTGTTTTGACCCTAACAACTCTTGATGTTCCCTTGGATGGCGAACGGCTGCTTGGCTGAGACTCGGTGTGTTCTCAGGAAACCCCCATGTCCAGTGCGTGCAGCCCACCTTGGAAGGAGGGAGGCTCTTCTGTCCTTGGCTTCAGGGCTCTTGTGGGTGAGGCCTTTGTGACAGGAGTGGAGTGTGTGACAAGGATTAGACACCTGCCTTCCCCTGGCTGCTCAACTAATTTTGAAAGTGTTTGGTTATCATTACATATACCTCACTTGCCAAAGAGTGCATAGAATGTATGTGTTCAGTTTAACAATGTAATAGTAGAATTGAAACTCATGTAGAAACAATATCTCCTTGTGGCTTAGTACGTAGTTTAAATCCTTCTGGTAGAACACTGCCCTCCCCTGAGTGACTGGGCTTCCTGTGAGGGCTCCTGGGGGCTGGCCCTCGGTGACTGTGGTCTCAGTCAGTGGCAGGAGACACATGGAGGAGTGAGAGGGAGTGCTCCCTACTCGCCGCTCAGGCTCACCCAGGGTGAGGCTGGCAGTGCAGGCTGGCATGTGCAGTGACAACCCCTGTGCCCACCTGCCCCGTAGGTCCTGGCCTGGTGGAGGGAGGCGGCGGCAGTGCAGGTCTATTACCGCCAGCAGGAGGACTGTGCCGTCAGCGAGGCTCGGCGCGCGCTGGATCAGGGTAAGCTAGGACCCCATAGCAAGTTCTGTTCCTAAGAGGATTTTGAAGGATGCAAAACTTCTTAGAATTCCATTTGCTCTACAAGGTCTCCGTCTCCTTCTCCTGGAATTGCTCATGCCGGCCAGTTTATGTCAAAATGGGAGGCCAGGGCTTGAAACCTACAGAGGTTTAAAGAGGACAGCTGGAGTGCTGGAGTTCCAGGGGGTCGGGGGGTAAGGGAGAGCTCAAGACAGCAAGCAGCAAGTTGCCGCCTGAAGCTGCCGCTCTCCAGGGACTGTGAGGTGGACCCCTCCTTAGAGAGGGCAGAGGCCTGTGGCAGGTCCAGGGATTGCCGTGTCCGTTACAGATGGTACACAGATTCTGAGCCAGGGACTTGGAAGACCGGGTGACAAGACACTGTGTTCTCTCAGTAGGTGTGTGGTGTTTACAGCCATTGAACTTGGTCTCAGGCACCCCTGCAGCCTGCGGGTGGGGCTGGGCCTGGAGGAAGAGGAACAAGGTCAAGGCCTCCAGAGATGATATGGCAGAGGGCGACATGCAGGCTTGGGCCATAGCCTGGCTCTGTGACCCTCTGAGCCCAGTTCCTTTCATCTGTGCAATGAGGGGGATAGTACTCACCCCTTAGGGACCTCATGTCCATCTAGAGCAGCAGCCCAAGAAGTGCTTCCACCTAATGCTGAGGGTCAGCTCCAGGCCTGGGACCACCTCCCCTGCACTCCATCAGGCCCTGGAGGGGCCCCGTCTTGGCATCGGTCCTCGACTGTTTTCTCTAAAAGAGACTCCTCTCAAGTCCTGAGAAGAAACAACAAAATGACCAAGTTGAACCAGAGGAAGGCACGCACTCCCCAGTAGAACCTGGTGACCAGACAGAGGCAGGATGCGGCAGCCACCCGCAGGGCCTGGGAGTCCGTGGACTCAGCCGTCAGACCGCTGTGCGCGCCTCTCCTCAAGGGCTTGGTTCTCTCTACTTCTCTGAGGGACCTGTAGTTTCTTTTTTTTTTCTTTCAAAAAATTTTTATTGTGATCTGGGTGAAAGTTTACAGCGCAAATCCATTTTCCTTACAGCGGTTCATATACATTTTGTTTCGTGACATTGACTGCAATTCCCCACAATGTAGCAGCTCTCTTCCCACTTCCTCCTGTAGTTACCTCTTCCCTGTGTCCTTCCCTCCCAGGCCCCCTGGCCTCACGAGCTGTCTCCCTGGGCAAACAGCTGTCTGCCCTTCTCTTCTCCCAGGATTGATTGATTGCTCCGATGAGCGTATCTACCTGATGTAAATGTTCACCCCATAGGCCTGTCTCTTGTTTGGCTGGAAGCCACAGAAGTGAGTTCAGTTCCAGACCTGAAGGGTAACTAGGGGCCATGGTCTCAGGGCTCTCACCTGGCTCCATCAGACCAGCAAACTTGGTTTGGTTTTTATGGTTTTGAGTTTTGTTGCACAGTGTCCTCCACTCTCTGCAGTGGTTGCCAGGCACCCTCCAGTTCTGGTGTTACGGTCGTGTAGGCTGAGGATCACATGGTTTATCAGCCCCTTGGGCTAATTGTTTCCAAGCATTTTTGGTTTTCTTCTTTCTTCTTTGCTCTGAATGAAGAGAGACCCATGTTGCATCTAGATGGCCACTTGCAAGCTTCTAAGACCCCAGCTGCTACTCACCAAAGTAGGATGTAGAATAACATTGGAGTATGTTATGCCAATTGAGTTTGATGTCCCCTGTGACCAGTTGGGAGCCTGCAGGTCCAACTACTCACTCCCTCAAGGTAGCTGGTTGTGGCCAAGAAGTTACCACAATCTTGTCCCTTACAGCACATATAGATATGCTTATAGAAATATCGTCTGCCAACCCATACGTGATCATGGGCACACTCCCCCCTGCCTAGGCATGCCCGATTGTTCAGCCTGTCTACCCATCTCCCCACCCGTAGGTCAATGCTTGCCATCGGAGCTGTAGTTTCCTCTCTTGTAAAACGGGGCCACCCCTTCCTCCTCCCCCAAGCTTCAGCTCCACTGCAGGCCCCTCCAGCTCCCTCAGATCGAGGCGGTTCCCCCTTCTCGTCCCGATGTGTGTAGCTCTGCAGGGGTCCCTGGCTCCACCGTGGCGGCTGTGCACAGACCCTCGGCTCTGAGCGGCTCTGGCTCCGGGCTGAGTGCGTCATGCAGGTGGTCACAGACAGTGGCCAGCTCAGTCCTTCCAGGGCAGCCAGTCCCGTGGGTTGCTGGACAGGCCAGCCCTGCCCCTGTTCAGCCCTCTGCACTCTCTGAACTCACTGTCACACAGTTGTTCATGAAACTCTACTACAAACTCTGCTTGGCTCTGCCCTAGGCTGTGTCCAGACTGTGTTTCGGCGCTGGCGGGATCGCAGCCAGAGCGTGGCCCGGCAGAGGGTGCAGCTGGAGAGGGCAGCCCGGCATCACCAGTGCCAGCTCCTGAGGGGGGCAGTGGTGCAGTGGAAGGCCTACCATCTGGGGTGTATCAGGGACACGGTGAGGTGCTGGCAGCAACTCTCCAAGTGCCCCCCGCGCGGCAGGGGCATCCGGGCCGGAGGCCAGCTCCCAGGAAGAACCCAGCAGCTCCGGTGGGTGCTGGGTGGCTCGGGGTACCATGGGAACAAGGCTCCTGAGCCTTTCTGGGCGTTGAGTGAAGGGTGTGGATGGCCAGCCTCAGAACCGAGTCTCTCTCAGGAGGAACATGGCACAGCAGAGAAGTTGGGTGTCCCCTGGAACTTCAGGGTGTTGGACCTACAAGGTCATCTAGACCCCCTGCCTGGTCACAAGGCCCTGGCGTCATCAAAGACACCTACTGAAGGGAGGCCCGCCCCCCCCCCCCGGGGCGTCTGGCTCTGCAGCTGCCCTGGGTGGTTAGGTCGACACCCCGTGCAGTTGTGTGACTCACCACCCCCATGCTCCTTTCTCCCCCCAGCTCCTGCAGAGGCAAGGGGCCTGGCTCCTGGCCCAAAGGCTTGGCCGGTCCTGCTTCCGTCACTGGAGACGGCAGGTGGGTTCTGTCAAGTTCCCTTTCCCTCCACTCTGCCTCCCATCAGCTCCTCAGCCCGCACCCCTAGCTCAGTGTTTCTGGGGCTGCCACCCCTGCACCTCAGCCTTCTACCTGTGACCTGTATAAAGTTGAGTCACCTTGAGGCCCTGTTTGCATAGCATCTAGTTCAAAAATACAGCCATGTAGTATCAAAAATTCCAAAGAAATGCATTTTAAGTCTGCTTATGTCCTGACAAAATACCCGGAGGGACCACACCCCTTGTGTTGAGCCGAATGTGCTCAGATCCATGCGTCCGTCCTTCTCCGGGTGCACAGAGCCACTCAGCCTGTCCTCATCCTTGCCCGGCTCCCACCCACCCCTCTGTGAGCCCGGCACCAGCTGCCTTACCCTCCTCATCCCACTGACCAGCCCCCGCCCACCGGGGAGGGGGTCATGGCCCTTTCTGGTGGAGGGAGGGAGAAGCAGACTGGGGTCAGAGAATGTTGAGTGCCGGCCAAGGGGGTGGCGTAGACAGCCTCCCTGAAGAGGTGACACTCAGACCATCAAGTCTGGCTCGTCTGGTTTTGCCCCTTTACTCATGGCCCGCCCGCCAGCCAGGCAAGGAGAGGCCGGCAGTGCTGCAGGCTGATACTTGACCACGTATCCTAGTCGGCCTGTGAGGCAGGCAGGGCCTTGGGGACAAAGGTCACTGTGCCACGTCCTCCACCCCGCCTTCGGGGCCTCTTTGTGTCTTGCTTACACACCCCCTCACCCCATTTCTCACAGAAAGTTATGGTCCAGGTCTCGGCACTCCTTGCTCTTCTGGTCTCTGGCTGTTCCATGAATTGCCCTCCCACCCCTCCTCGTGGCCACTCTGCCTGACCGGCAACTACCCTGTCGTAGTCTGCATGTGGTGTTCTTACCCGTGTCACTCCAGGCTGTCATGGCCCACACAGTACCACCGGGACTGTTGGTCACGGGTCTCTGGGTTGACCTGGTGGTGGATCACGTGCTAAAATCATGAAAACAAACCCACCACCGTCGAGTCAGTTCAACTCATAGCGACCCCTCCTTGGGTTTCTGAGGCAGTATCTCTACGGAAGTAGATTGCCCAACCTTCCTTCCGAGGAGTGGCTGGTGGGTTTGAACCGCCAGCTTTCTGGTGAGCAGTCAAGTGCCTTAGGCACTACGCCACCAGAGCCCCTAGGGACCTGGGAGGTCTCAGCTGATCCCGCCCAGGAGGGTGAGCCAGGGCCGGGTCCTCACAGCATGTGGGGGGCTCCGGGTGGAGCCTCTGCAGGTGCAGGCAGAAGCTGCGGGTCTCGAAGCCCAGCTCCGAAGTGCCCCTGCGTCACTTCCTGGGGTCACAGGGCCCGCTCAAATGCCAAGGGAGGAAGACACCCTACCTCTGATAGGGGTGGCGTCCCTGGAAACAGTCCATCCCACCAGCTCCCATAGAAGCTCCCTGCTCCTGCCCCCCGCCCCAGTCGCCCGCTGACCCTGCCAGTGCCGGGGGTTTGGTTCCGACCCATGACGACCTCATGTGTCAGAGTGGAACTGGGCTCTGTGGAGTTTTCAGGGGCTGAGTTTTTGGAAACGGGTCGCCAGGCCTTTCTTCCACGTTGCCTCAGCCTCTCAGTCAGCCCAGCAGGGTCACCTTCTGCACCACCCGGCATCTCTCGCTAACTAGTGGGGCCTCTGAAAACGTGGCTTGTGGGTCCTATTCCAGGAACCCTTCCCTCAGGACCAGGCTAAGCTAGGTGTCCCTCCTTGGGGCTCTTGTCACAGGGCTTCCGTGTCCTGTGCTGATTTGGCCATTGTCCTGCCTCCAAGAGACTGTGCCCCCCCCCCCATCAGAGCCCAGGCTTGGTCCCCTCGATGTCTCAGCCTGGCATGCTCAGAAGGAACTGAGTGGGGTGCCTGGCAACTTTCAGATGATGCCACCCAGGACTGCCAGGTGGTTCTGGCAGGGGGGATCTCAAGGGGGTCTGCTGGACAGTGAAGGCCCGAGGGTCAGCCTCGCTTTCCCCTGGGACAGTCTCTCCGAGACCTGCCCTCCTCCCTGTCTGCCTGCCTGTTCACGTGGGCATCCGGCCTGGCCTGGCCTGCTCCACCTGCCATCCCTGAGTGCTTCTGCGCAGGCCTTCAGCCGCGCCCCCCCCCCCCGAGCCCCTCTCTCAATCCCTCTGCCCACAGCTGGCAACCGTGAGGGGGGAGCAGCGGTCCACGGCGCGGGCCCTGTGGTTCTGGTCCTTGTCACTGCAGGCAAAGGTAATCGGGGCAGGATCTCTGGGGGCAGACTTTCAGCACCGAGCCCGGGGGGGGGGCTCACCTCTACTGTCCTTGGAGGCCTGGGGCGCCTGGCGGGACTTTGTGCTGGAAAGGAGGAGAAAGAAGGCGCGGCTGGAGCGGGCGACGCAGGCCCACCACCAGCGGCTCCTGCAGGAGGGCACCGCCCGCCTCCTGCGGTTCTCGGCCGCCGCGAAGGCCGCCCGGCAGCAGCTGCGCGCCCAGGAGCAGGCCCAGGTAGGCAGCGGACTCCCACCTTTCGCGGGAGGCGGGAGGCGGTGCACGCAGCCAGCAGCCCCTGACTCTGGCCCGTCGGCAGGCGGCCCGCAGCCTCCACCGCACCGTCCGCCACTGTGCCATGCGCTGGAAGCAGAAGGTGCTGGGCCCAGCCAGGGAGCCCCTGGCCCCTGCACCCAACACACCCAGCAGGAGAGTGACGTTCGAAGTCCCCCTTCTCAGCCCTGTTGCTGCTGGGGCTGGGGACACAGCCCTAGAGACCAAGAGGCCAGGAGCAAGGCCCGAGCGAGTTCTGGGCAGCTTGGCCCTGGCTGCTGGGGACGCCCCGCTCCTGGAGCTGTGAGTAGCCTCAGCCGCCGCGTGTATCTTGGGCAGAAGCACTGGCTGCGGGAGGGAGGGCCACTGGGCCCCGAGTGGACAGCACCGGCCAGTCACGGCCCCTTGCCACAGCGATGCGGCTCAGGCCCACCTTCCTCTCTGCATTACCTCTGCCCTGTGAGGGCTCAGGGAGATGGTGGAGTGAGATTTCCGACCTTCCTTTCCTCCTCTTCCTTCCAAAGCTCAGGAGATATGTGTCCCTTTCTCTCCGATGCCTTCCCGCCCCCTTCCCAAAGTGATACAAGGAGTTGACAGAAGGAGCCGGCAGTACCCACCTTTCCTGCCCAAACTGCCAGTCTTCCCGCTTCTTGTGCAGCCTAAGATAGGCTCTCTGTCCCCACAGTGAGATCTGGAACCTGCCCTGTGTCCACCTCCCTGATGGTCTCCCCAACTGTACACCCACCTACCCCTCACCAGGACGAGCGTCAGCTCCCCAAGTGGCCAGAGCCACCGGCAGGTGCCTCGGGTCTCGGGGCGAGCCTCCTGGCCTTGTGGCTCCCCCGCCGCAGTCCACCTCAGACGAGAGCCCTAGTGTCTCGGGCGGTTTCCTCTTGCAGCTGCTGGGCCAGGTGGTTGTAGAGACCGGCCGAGCCACTGCAGAGACGCAGGCCACGAACTGCCGAAGGATCGTCCGGCCCAGCTTCCTTTGGGACCTGGTGCCAGGGCCGTTCCTTCTCTGGCCTTCAGTCTCTCAGAAAGTGGAGGGGGTTGGACTCGATGACCTCGACCCCACAGAGATTTCGATCTCAGTCCCCCCCTCCCCAGCCCGTCAGCCTACAGGAACAGCCCCGTGTATCTTCCCAGGAACGCTGCCCGCTTGGCAAGGAAGCAGCCCCGACGCCCCAACTTTGTGCTGGAGCCAGATCAGAGCCAGAGGTATCTTGGGTGTGGACCCCTTGGGGCACGGGGGTAGGTGAGGGGGTCCTGAGCCTCCCCCAAAGCAGCTGGAACCTCTGAGGCCTGTTTTGGGATGGGGAGGGCCCTTTCCTCCCTGCTCCTCAGGCAGGAAGGGTTCTTAGTCCCCAGGGAGGGTACCTCGCCCTGACCAGGCTCCTGCCTTCCATCTGCTCAGGGCTGAGAAGGCACGGGAGTGTGGCCTAGGCATGGCCCAGCCAGCCAGCGGTTCCTTGCCAAAGCCTTTCCTGGCGGAAGCCCAGACAGCCCCGGCCCCACACAGCACCTTGCCCCGACTCAGGGCCCTGCCAAGGCCCCCTGGCCCAAAGCTGCCCCCCACGGCAAGTGCAGGCCCGCAGCCGGTGGTGCTGCCGCCGTCTCCCTTCACGCCGTGTGGGGCGGAGACAGCCGGCGGGGTAAGTGACTGCTCGCCTGGGCCACCCGCCTTTGCGCGGGCCCTCAGTGCTCTTGGTACTCGGCACTGGGGCGCAGCTGTGCTGACAGTTTCTGGGACGCCGTGGCTGGGGAGGCCGTGCATCCGTTCACAGGAAGGCGCATTGTGCACCCAGGCCCCAGGAGCCGGTGAGGCCCCGGCCCTCAGGCGCTGAGAGTCTAGAGAGGAAATCCCGCCTCGCAGACAGGCGCAGAGACGGCAGACCGCGCAGCCTCAGGCCGGGCCGGAGGGCGGAGTGTAAGAACAGGGGTGCCGGCAGCTGGGCACGAGCGGGGCGCCCCACGGCTGTTCTTCACTCTCGGTGGCGGCTGGTACGGGGTGCAGGTTTGCGGCTGTGGTGGCTGTAGAGAGGGGACAAGTCGACAGGTCCTCTCGGGGGAAGACGAGGGGGGCTGGTGCTGGTGGAGAGCCTGGGGGGCAGGAATCGAGCTGGCCTCCCCGGTTTCTGTCTCAAATATTAGGGTGAACGGTGAGCACTTCCACTGAAGGAGGGAAATGGGGGGCGGGTTGGCGGAAGCAGGAGGAGTGTTTCAAACCTGTCAGATGTGAGAAAGCAGGTGCCGGGACT